AAATTTCACCAAGTTGTTATAATTTAGTTGTTCTTCGGTGCAACCTTGTCGCAGCCCCCACCTCTGTACGAGATCTGGATTTGGTACATTTCGATTCACTTGTTACTGTGTCAGTGAAACATTTTATAATCTCAATCGCTTAGCCTCCATCTCTATGGTGAGTATTTGTTGTTCCGTTACGACCACCGCAGCTGATTGGACAAAATCAACAATATCCAAATGTTTCTCACCTTTGTGAGAGTTAAAATACACAAGCAGATCTAAATCTGCCCTGGCATTACTGTGTTCCATGTTTTGTTGATTCTGGGATGGAGTCTTGACATTGGTTGACGGATCCATTGAGTCTAATAATTGTTGTAGTGGCGTTGCTGTGAAGTCCGCATTATACATGGGGCCGCCATGTTGGAATCATTATTATGCACTATGTCAACGTTTGTGGCAGCATTTCGGGGAACTACGGGATTAGATGAGGTGCTGGCTTTAGCAGTCGTCGGTAGTTGAGTGTTCATCCTGTTGCACAATCGACATCTGGTGAGCATCCTGTTGTGTAATTGTGTGCTTGGCCTTCAAGGTTTTAACTGCCTCTTCTAATCTTCGTTGTTGGCCAAGCTGTAAGATTTCCAAAGTGGTGATGTCTGTTTCCTGCAAGAGACGTAATGATGATATGCTATCAAAGCCGGCTGTAACTAGGTGGTGCGTTGTGTCGGACGACAGCTCATTCTCTGTAGCCAACTGTTGGATGTCGATTGGAGAGTTGTCGATCTTTGCGTTTAGTGAGAAAGACTGCCGACTTGGAATAAAAAAGGCCTGGCTCAGAAAAAGATCGTTCGATGACATTCTAGATAATATGATATTCAGGCATAGAGCTGGTCAAACGAACAGTAACGTAACTTAGTTGATAAGCGTTTTCGATTTAGTCCACCGCGTAACAGCAACAGCAAAAACTAAGAGATATGGAACGTTGTAAACAGAAATGTTGGCACTACATAAAAATCAGCTGCTTGCTGCATGCCTTGCTAGCTGTGTCCCGAGAGGGATTACCAATGTAATGGCAAACGTAAGCTATGTTTACTTATTTAAAGTGGCCAGTGCTGACTGGTTACAATGGGGTGCACCAACTCACTGCCTCTGAGCAATGCAAATGAGTAGCTACCCCAGATTTAAACCTCGTTAAATATTAACCTAACATTAAAATACAGTAGGGTAACGACATTTACTTGTAGTCTTAGTATATTTAAATAATTTGAAAAGGAAACATAGACGAGGTAGTAAAAATGATTTACAAAATTGTTTATTTATATTACACCACATAAAATCATTGCAAGCCCCTACTGCAATATAGACTCGTCCTGAGTGGGCGTGGCAACAAGTCGGCGCCAGCGAAATTCGAAAGCCAACTGTTTAGTCAAAACCCAAATAGTTAGCTAGCGAGTTTGCAAATTGGCTGTCCCAATACTTCTGAGACTTGCTGTAATTTTGGATAAGCGGATTCTAATTTATCTGTCACGTGCACATAGTCACCATATTTATTAAACTTGATTTTTCTCAAACCCAGACCAGCTAATTGCAACTCGTCCTTCTTCGGTGTTGACGGAGCTAGTGGCAATTCGTAGTCATTCTCAGCCAGACAGCAGAATCTGTGCGTCCATGTAGGAGAGTATACAAACCTAGCAAAACTTTCTTCATTCGGTTTCTTCCTATCGCCTTTGAATCTACTACTTTGCTGTTGGCTTTTCCATGCTCTTGCCATGTGAAAACGAAAACGCACATAGCTCAGCACGTTCGGTTACACGATCAGTTGATCGCATGTCAGGCGGCGATACTGACTGAATAACTGCAACAACATCATCATCTGTTCTTCTGTTACAGTCCCGGTGTTAGTGTTATTATTACCCAATAAATTGTTGGATGTACGACGTCTTGAGATCATTTTCCACTATAGGAATTTTCATTTCTGTGAAATCCGCATCAACCAAATCAGGTTCATCTTTAAAAGGATGGCTGAGCAACAAATGAGGATTATCTACACTTAATGAGCACTGCATCCATTCCAAATCTGTGCTCTATTTTTTGACTCCCATGTGCGAAGCACAAAATGGGAGTCTTTGCAGTTAGTGTGTCTGTATGTGTGTATGTGTGTATGTGTGTATGTGTGTATGTGTGTATGTGTGTATGTGTGTATGTGTGTATGTGTGTATGTGTGTGTGTATGTGTGTATGTGTGTCCGACTGTTCCACTGCTATCTCAAGAACCATACATCGGTTTTTGATGAAACTTGGTGCATAGATGCTCTGGGCCAATGCGCAGATTTGATTAGGTTTTGGTAAAAATCCATGCTCGTTAATTACCTAATTTGCATGATAATTAGCTAATTTTTAGCTGTTCTATGACTGTTCCACTGATATCTAAAGAACCACTCATTGGATTTTGATGAAACTTGGTACATAGATGCTCTGAACATATGCGCAGATTTGATTAATTTTTGGTAAAAATCCGTGCATATTAA